GTTCAACACTTTCACAGTTCTTACTCAATTTAGGCACATAAATCAACTTTTGTCACTTTTATACGCGTTTTTTGTTATATTTGAACGTTGAATTGTACAGTATATATGGAGGATATAAACAAAAATCAAATCACGCGCGGATTCATATAAAAAGGACAAAAATTACAATCACTAAAGAGAAGCAATCGATGGAACAATCAATATAAAGTTATCGCTAGAAGTGGGCGATACAAATCGTATCAGATATGAAAACTAGATATTAGTACAATATCCGAATATCGCTTACTGGCTCGTTCAATATCTAGGTATGTATTTTACAATATCTGATATTTCCAAAATCTGATGTAACGTGCTCGCTCGCTATACCGACACGAATCGCGATATCATACGCGTTTCCCACAATATCTGATTTTTAAACAGATTTCGAGAGACAAAGCGCGTGAGATACAAATACTCACTATTTAGAGCGGGACGACAAGCAATGCACGATATCAGATATCGAGCGACAAAGCGCGTGAGATATAAATACTCACTAATTAGAGCGGGACGGCAAGCAATGCACGATATCAGATATCGAGCGACAAAGCGTGTGAGATATAAATACTCACTAGTTAGAGCGGGACGGCAAGCAATGCACGATATCAGATTTTTAAACAGATTTTGAGCGACAAAGCGCGTGAGATACAAATATTACACTAGTTAGAGCAGTACGGCAAACAAGGCACAATATCAGATTTTTAAACAGATATTATGAATAAGTAATTTTGAATCTTAAAACCATGCAAATAAGATCCGTTTCAATTAAATACTAATCATGGTATCAACGATTACTACAACGATATTTTTAAGCATATTTTTATTGTTTTGTTTAGCCTTGAGCCGTAACGGGCGACAAAGCGCGCAGTTAAGTAATTTTGAATCTTAACAGCATGGAAAAAAACATTTTTAGTTGCATTTAAATACGAATTAAGGTATTAACGATGTCTTTAAATTTTGTTTAACCTTGAGCTGGATTGCATTGGTACCTAGCACGTAATAGTAAGGGATGCCAACTTACTACTTAAGAATTTTCTGCCTAAATTAAGGAAGAAATTTTTTTAAATAAATGGAAATTTTTTAGGAGGTAAATTTTTTGTGAATATTTTTATTAGTTAAATTTTATTCATGTTTTTGGAAAAAAATAAAACTACACAAAAAGAAAAATATAATTTAATAGTGCTGTGCTGCTTGGGTGGAAATCATACCAAGGTTTATGTGCTTTGTGTGTATATTTTAAATTCTTCCGCCCTAAGTTATAATACTGAATGTATTATTTCTTACACAAATTATGAAAATATTGTCACTCATGATTGCGTGTTCTAAGAATATGTTAAAGTCAATTAAGCGATATATAAGATGTTAAAATAAATCATTTTTATGTTACTTCAATGTCTATTTTTAATGAAATTTTTTATTTAATCAGGTAATGTTTTAATTTTACCTGAATAGTATAAAAAATCGTGATTTTAAATTCAGTAAGTTTTTTGAATTTAGTCAATTGTAGTGGGTTTTCGAATTTATTTAGAAGTATTCTTTTTGAACAGTTGGTATCACTGGTAATAGCTTTAGTTATGTTTAGGTATAATGATCGTCGAACAAGACTTTCGAGGAATAAAGTCAAACAGCTTACGTTCCTAAACGTGAATTTAAACCCGGAGGAATCTTTTCTTTTTTTTTTTTTTTTAGAATTCAAGGTGGATACGGGACCGTAAAATATCTAGATATTAAAATACATATTTTCGAAATCTGATATTTGAAATCGAAATCTGATTCAGATACGGTACTCAGAAAAAGCGATACGACCATCTCTAGTTATCGCAATTTGACGTTAGGATCGTTCACTGATTGCTCTCGGATCGCTGTCAAAATTAATACGTGACACGAAAACTTTGTGTATCGCTTTGGTCTATAGTAGGCTATTGCACTTTTTAGTTCACTGATTGTTCTACTGAGGCAGCACTATCGTCATTATGTTTTCGCTTTGCTATTGCTGATACATAATACGAATTTGCGATTATTGTGCAATAATTGCAGTTTTTTCGCTATCGCTTTGCATTTGCTTTTTACGTAATAGGCCTGCCGACCGTCTTAAACTTGGCGACGTAATTGCATTTCCATATGATTATGTGGTAATCACTTGCCGTAATGTGGAATGCCTGCTCATTAGGCAAATCTCATAAATGAAAATTATATTATTTTGTAATCCTGCTGACTAGTAGGTACTACTAGGGCGTCGTTCGTTGTAACTAAAAGCATTTTCTGTATAGGTTAGTCGTCACATTCCGGCGGGAAAAATGATGATTAAAAGGAAGACCGTTTTAGTAATACCTTAACATGGGTATAATATACATCAACGGCCATCCATCCGAATCAAACGCCTATAAAATTGTAAATAATCAAAGGACCACATTGCAATTAATTCATGTGCAAATCATATTATCACTTTCGAACTTGGTAATAACTACTTGCAATGGTTTTTTTTAATGTGAAAAGTTGCCAAATGAGCAGACGGTTCACCTGGTGTTAAGTGAATACAGCCGCCCATAGACATCTGCTACGCCCGAGGGTTTGCAGATGCGTTGACAACCTTTTTGGAAATTGGGCTCTGGCTACCTCACTCACCAGACGAAATGCGAAAGTATTTATCATATTTCCACCCGGACGGGCCTGCCCATTCGTGCAACAGCAGAGGCTGGTGCGTGGCCTACCACCGTTACAGACAAACATCCATCGTACCGTGTTCCGATGGCCATGGCTGTGGACGTAAGGCCACCTTCAACAATAAGGTGGCCCTTGCCTGTTGGCTCCCGGGGAAACGTATAAAGTCCCCAGGAGAATCACACATCTCACTCTAACACTCTCTCAGGACTCGAAACAGTATTCCGTTCTCAAAGTGTGTTAAAGGTGTGTCTGTGGCTCCACGGTTCTCCCAAACATTCAATAGAAGCGGGCGGGTGCGAAAGCGCACTAAACAGAAAAACTGGTCCTGAGCACCGATTGATCTCAAGCCATGAGCCTGTCCTCTTCTCAAGTTAACAACTTTCAAAGTCAAAATTTCTTTAGTCAGTTTAGGCTTGTTTTAAGCCCTTATTGAACGTCAAGAAACCTACCAACGGCTTATTAAAGTCTGTCCAGAAAAGAACCTTTTCATGTTGTCGTGTTTCTCCATCTTTTTAATGATATTTACAAATTTGTAAAGTATAAAATCAGCAGCAGCCAGGGGTCTTGTAAGTGCACAGAACAAGAGCCATTTCCACACATCCTTGTCCCCAATGTCTTCTTCAACATTATAATAGGCCAATTCCTTATTGTTTAAACATGAAAAAATTAAACAAATTGCAAAGAATATTTTTTGCAGGAAATTGTTTTTCTTTTATAATGTTTAAGATATTTTGATTAGAAAAGGTCTTTAGACTCAGTATCGTAACTTTACGCCTCGAAATATAATTATTATAGCTGTTGCCGCGTTTGTTAGTTCCCTGATAGATGAGATGAAGTATTGCAAAGACGGCAGCGCTCGCTCAACTTTGTTGCTAATTTGTCTATATGAACTCCCCATTGCAATTTTAATCAATCATATACCAAGACAAGCTGTTGAATTCATTCTGAAGCGGTAATATTTGCAAGTAGTAATGAATGGTATTTGATGCACTAGTCGATTTTACAACAGCAAAGCCTTTTTATTCAGCGTTTGAATTATGACTTGTTTATTTCGTGTAGCAACATATAATAAATGAATTGAATGTTTATTCACTACGCTATTACAGAAATTATGAAAAACACAAGTATATTATAAATCAGGAACTTTATTTAAGCTATATGTACAAAAATAGAAGTATCAGAAAATAGACATTAATTAATCTATAATAATTAATAGCTTTAACAAGCAAAACGAGACCAAAGGGGCGGCCGGGCATGGGCCAAATCGATCGCTTGCGATATTCGCCCTTAACTCATAGCAGATAAGGTACATTGTGGGTACAAATTCAACGCAGATATATCTACTAAAAGCCGACCGCCTCTTTGGTGGAAACAAACTGAAACACCAATCATTGCCTCAATTATTATAAAATACGAGTCATATTCATTTCATCTTCATCACAACGTAATAAATTCAAATCCATTCGTCTCAAAAATGTCGTGCACAAAATAAAAAACTTTTGTTCACATTCTATATAGAGAATAATAATATTTCGGATATATATTTTAGTATTAATGCGAAACACATTAATGTTTAAATGTATAGGTTATAACCACGGCGACTATTATTAAAACGTTGTATTTGAAGTTAAACATGACAAGATCCTAGATGGGAAACTGTAAAACAAACAAATTAAAAACTTTGGCGTATTTTGTTTGTTTATTTGTGTAAAACGATGAGGAAGATAAGGAATAAGAAGTTGCAAATAAATATACACGATAATCAGGTTCGTATCGCGAAAGATCAAATGGTGGAAGACCTGTGCAGATTATAAATGGACTTAAGCTTAATTTTTTTTTGATGTAAAAGACGATAAAAGTTGTATAACATATTTGTATTTAGCTTTTAGGCATCATAGTTAATATTTTAAATATTTTATTAAATTAGTTTAAACCTACTACTTCATGTAATTTTTTATGATCTTGCATATAATAATGGCCTTAGTGTATATTGCATAAGGTGTTTATATTATATAGTTTAATGGAAATATAGAAAAAAATCACAAGCCCAAGCTATTCTGAATCTTATCCCCCTAGCATAAGGCTAATCTAAATGCAACAAGGCCGTCCGTATTAAGGCATTCAGTTGTTCCCAGCTTAGTCTAACATCAGCTTGAGTCAGGTTCGTTCGGCGACGGTGCAGGCTCTCGATGCTAGAACCTGAACCGGCGCTGAACTTCCTCTGCTACAAGTAGTCTAGGTCAGTCTTCGTTTGCGGAAAGAAGGCCATTGAGGAGAGAGGAGGGGGCGGCGGGCGGTCAGGTCTCGAAGTGCTTGTAGATGCTGGTGACGTAGGCCATGACCTGCTGCCAGTCGGGGCGCTCCTGCTGGATCATGTCCTGCACGCTGAGCGTGGTGGGGATGCCCTGCGCCTCTGCGGCGGCGAAGGCCAGCGCGAAGTTGGTGCGCTTGTCGAGCGGCGAGAGGCGGCGGTACGGCACCCGCGCCTCGCCCACGTACGCGTGCAGCAGCGCGCACAGCGCCAGCCCGTCGTTCCACGACGAGCTGCGCGCGTAACGACCAGTTCCAACCACTTCCAACCACTTCCAACCACTTCCAACCCCGACACGACTACGGTTACTGCCTGCATGCTCACCTGAAGTTCGTGATGTCGATATTGCTGTAGCCCGCGGTCTTCTGCTGGCACCACTTGAGCAGCGCGTTCCGCTTCGAGCCGCCGTTCTTCACTTGCAGCGCGTTCAGGGGGTCCTTTCTTTCACCTGGCATAATGGCAGGACACTATTGAATATTAACAAGTTTCTACAAACATCTACATGACTCTATAATTATATTTGGACAGGCTCGTCCGGGCAAGTACCACGACCTCACAAGAAGACCGGCGTGAAGTGAAAGTGTAATACTTTCGCGTTTCGTCTGATGATCGAAGTGGCCGAAAGCCAATTTTCAAAAGATTGTCAACGCATCTACAATCCTCGGGTATAGCAGATGTCCATGGGCGGCGGTATTCACTTAAAATCAGGTGAACCGCCAGCTCACTTGGCAACTTTTTCCACAAAAATAAAAATCGCATGGGATTCGAATATTATATTCTCTGTGGGACAAAGTGGCAAAATAGCTCACAGCTAACCGTTAGTAATCACGGCAACTCATTGTCTTCCACAAACCCTTGACGTTGCGTTAAAAATGCAAAAGTGCATAATATGCAGGGTGGCTTTTCTAAGTGTATCCATTTTTTTTATTAAATTCTAGACATAAATAAAGTCATATAAAAAATGATAAATATTTAAAATCACTCGTAAGTAATTAATTATATTTGAACTTATCTCAAAAAGTGCGTGATTTATATGCAACTCATTTATTTTACACGCGATCATACATAACTAACACGCGGGCATTTCTCAAAAAAATCTCCCTGTAGTCTACTTCATGTCGGTCTTTCGTGAAATCCTCTGCGTCATTAGAGTAGACGGCTGCCAAGAGCGGTGCGATCGCGGGAAAGGGGGAGAGGGAGAGAGAGAGAGAGGGAGAGAGATAGAGAGAGGTGCGCACTCACAGATGTCCCCGTAGCTGTTGCGCCTCACGAAGGACTCCATGGCCTTCTGCTGCAGGCTGGCCAGCGCGCGCTCCTCGTCCGGCACGTTGGTGGCGGGCGCCGTTTCTGCAGCAGCCCGCGCGTTACCACACACACGCACACAGACACGCACGCACACGCACACCGCCACACAGCCACAGCCACCACCACTGAGGCGAACACCAAGCCCCAAACCTCCGGATCTCATTTGGACGTGTTGCTACTTTTAATATTGGTTCAGATTATACGGCTTTCGCTCTACGGTTAATAGATTGCGATTAGAATGATGATCCCCTAGTGCAATGCACCAAATAAATTCCAATTGTATGATTTGTTTATTTACAACTCATTTCTCTCAGAATAAATTACTCCCGAGTTCAATGTGTACATTATGAATGGGCAAAAGATGCACAAAGTACGGGAAGTATAGATCGAGGAAAAAGTCGGTTAAATGTTAATACGCCAAGCGCACACGTGCAGCATTATATATTAGAAATGGACAAGCCGAGGCAAGCACTCAATTTCAGTAGGAAATACACCATCTCACCAATATATTTCCTACTGTCTATATAATTTTATGCAATAAACTGCTATTTATATAAAGCGAATAATACACAAAATGTCTATCAATCATATATTTACAAAGTTATTTTATTACAATTGTTTCGTTTTAATCTTACTTATTTGAGTGGAAAGCAGCATCAGGTTCCCGCTGTTACCATTATATATGGAACTAATAGACATGCGAATACCCCATCGGCCAAACGAAACTATCGCTCGACTTAGAGAGGAAGATGATGAATAGTAGAGAAAAATATAATTAATGGTTGAAGATAACATTATTGCAAGATGCGGCAAATGAGTGGAAAATATTAGAGTATGCGGGTGTAATAGATTAGGTACACGGAGAGAAGGTTAGAATTGGTTCGTGAGGGGCTCTCTATGCGGCCGCCTCATGCCGCCATGCTGGAATCAGAACAGAAGCGACCACTGCATGCATTGTATCGTGGCTCTAATACGTCTTCTCGTAGTTCGATGATATGTCACCCTACCATGCATGCAACACTTGTATTATTTTTATAAAAGAAACTCATGCACAAAATAGTTACAAATATTTTGAATTACTGAACAATTGCGGTATGTAGTGTATAAATCTTATAGATTTACACGTGATTTCGTGTATTTACACAGGTAAATAATATAAATATAATACTGTGAAATATAACTGTTTTAAGAATTGTTCCCTGTATCATTTAATTTGGCTTGCCCGATGTTTAAGGTAAGTGTTAAAATAAATTTGTAGAACAACGCCAGTTTTCATAATGATCTCAGTGTTACCTGTTGTTGGTTGATCAGTAACAAACCGATTATGAAATTGAACACTCGACTAATTTTACTAGAGAAATAAAAAAAAATAATGCGTATTTGAAGAGATTTAATAGTGACTGTATCTGTTATTTTCATGTGTGAGTATGTGCGTGTGTACGTGTGTGTATGTGTCAGTGTGTGTGCAGCACATGCATTGCGCGCAACGATGCCGATGGGGGGTCGCTGACCTTGCGGCGGCTGTGCGGGCCTGGCGGCGCGCGGCGCCGGCGGCTTGGCGGCCAGGTGCGCCCCGCCCCCCTGCCCCTCCGCAGCCGCACCCCCGCCCCCGGCCCCGACACCGCCCCCGCCCCCGCCGGTGCCCGTTCCGCCCTCGGCCCCCGCCGCACCGCCCCCTGCGCCGCTTGCGCCCTGACGCAACAGCGGCTCACTCTCAATTTGCCAAGCAACACCATTTTTGAAATTTAAAATGAACCTTGGAATTTGAATAATCTTGTCAAATATTATGTATCCTATGAGTTCTATAAACAGTGAATAGTACTATATGTATAAATAATAAAAATAGGTCAGTTGCAATACCTGTGGCCAGTCGCACGTGGCGGCGGGCGCCTGCTTGGCCGCCTTCGCTGCGTTCTCAATGCTCTCGATGAGCGACTTCACCGACAGACGCGAATCCTGACGGCTCACACCTGAAAGCGGCACCACACCTAACGTTGTCACATTGATGGGAACAATGTATTTTGAAATTCTAATTTTTCTAGATAAATTGTCGAAATATTATCATTTCTGTCAAGACTAAAATACCAGCACTAAAATGTACACGCCAATCTAGAAATTTCTCAACGTGCATATTATCATTACTTACCATACGCCCGACGCTGAAAAAGATGACCGTGTAGAACCGACATGTCCGAGAAATATTGAACAAAAGTCTGGCGAAGGCATATGAAGTCCAGAAATGCGAAAGTGCAGCGTGGCACAATGCGTACACGCGAAGGGGGAGCTAGGTGGCTGACCTTTGGTGCGCCGGTGCGAGGCGGCGGTGGCCATTATGTCCTGGAGCGAGGCGCTGCTCAGCAGCGGCGGCGGCGGCGTCTCCTCGGACCGTGGCGGGATCGCTAAGCGGCAAACATCGACACCACACTTCACTCGCTGTATTCAACACCACCCATACTGCCTAAGGTTTTAATAACAGTGTGTTGCCAGTTACGACCGCGACCGAAAAGTGATGTTAATATTGATCCAAATGTTTGATGCAAATGTCGTATCCTTGCAAAAAAAAAATGGCTCCAAATCAATTTTAACAAGAAGCAGCAACACTTGAATGAAATGAAATGAATTTCAGTGTGCATATTCAAAATGAATTCTTTTTTACTTCACGTCGGCAATGAAATGACAATTTAACAGCTTTAATGAATACAATACATATTTCAATTGTAAGGGTCAACCTGGAAAGAGTACCTCCACCCCATTTCTACCATATTTTCCAGATGTCCGCCCGTCACCCAAATGTTATCCGTTATACGTTACACGTTAGAAGCTTAGTTTATTTAATAAATATTGCTAATAGTTACTCACCTTCTTAAAAATAACCAGTGAAATACAAAAATAGGAAAGATTTCCAGTCGTAATTATGCAAATACACCGTAACGTCCAATGGACATGCCACAAAGCACCACCACCGATGAGACACAGTCGCAGTTCGGAGTTATTGACAGAGTTCACACGGGACGCTTAGTTGGTGACACAAAGAAGCCTTTAGCCTAACTTACGTAGCGGTCTCGGAGGCGGGGGATCGTTCAGTGACCTTATCGGGTGGGAGAGGCGCTTATGCTCCAACGTCTTCCAGTGGTAAGTTCGCGCTTGCCGAGGTAGCGACCCTGTATCAGTTCTCTGCCCTTGTTGATCTTGCAGGGAGTGTTTCCTCATCTGCACCTCGCCGGTTTTCAGCGTCTCAACTTCAAGTGGTTTCTTCTCTAAACTCTGAACGATATCCCCTACAGAAGAACTATTTTGTTTCTTGACCAAATCCTTAGCACTTGGCGATCTTGACAGAGAAATGACAGATTTTGTGATATTCGCCAATTCTTTGTCCATGATTGCCGCGTTGCTCGACTTTATGGTTGCAGATTCAGTGTCTTGTTTCTTTGGTCTCTTGGGTTTCCTCGGTACTTTGAGTATCTCTTCTCGACTAATAACAGGAAAATCATTCACTTCAATATTTTGACTAGATATCTTCTCTTCGTCGGCTACGTTTTTGCCCCGTTCAATTGTAGATTTCATCGGTTGTCCAATTTCTTCGTAGTAGTTCTCTTGTTCAGATTCGCTTCGTTTATCAATGCCAGATAAAACAGAAATTGAATTGTTCGGTGTATTCACTTTAACTTTATCTGTTGCTACATGAAGATTGGATTTTTTTCCTTGAATTCTGCTAGGAACAGAGGGAGTATTATCCATTGGCTGATAATAGTTATTATCAATTAACCATTCGGGTGTTTTTGATATCTTACTAACGTTATTAGTCTTTGGTGCATTAACTACTTGGGGTGATTTTTTTGGTTTAGAAAAAATTGTTTCCGTTAAATTTTCGCTGGAAGATCCCCAAGACAAAAATGGTAATTTTTTAATTTTAATGTTTTTTTGGTAAATTCCTTTCTTAGGACTGTCAACTCGTTGTAATTTATTACATTTTGCATCATCCGAAACAACTACTTGATTAATGTCGTCATAATAAATTGCGCTTCTCGTTGGTTCAGGAGTCTGAACAGCAGAGTCAACTAAAGCATTTGGCTTAAAGAAAATTGGTTGTAACAACACTGGACTTATGATTATAGGTGATGTTTTACCATCTCTTAGTCCAATGTTGGCGTTCATAATATTTATTGGGGCTAGAAAGGTCTTTATCTTATTTTCAGTTACTTTTTTATTACATGAAATTTTGCTTAATTGGTCAAGGGTTGCGATTGAATTCGACACTGGTGCATCTAGTGCATCATCTTCGTTCAAAGTGTTAATTTTCAAACGATAGCTGACTTCATCCGGGGACACACTTGCTTCCTTTCCTTCTTTAGGTTTGGATAATACTAAAAATGAGTCTTGTGTATTTTCCAAATTTCCATCCTTCATTTCATCACTAACACTATTCTCAGAAAACGGTGTAGTTACATCATTTGTATGGTCTGATAGAATTCTTTCATTTTCACTTTTACTTTCTAACACAATTTTTTTGATATTACTTGGAGAAACGCAGTTTGTGTCCTTCATATTGTTTTCGTTACTTATAATTGTAGTGTCATTCACTGACTCTGAATCCAAACATTTTAAGAATTTTTGGGAAGTCGATTTTTTGTTATTTTCTTTATAACTATTTTCACTTGTAATTCTGTTTATAGCCGCATTAAATGTTAGTTTCAGTTCCTCGTTCACTTTCCTTAAATCTCTTTCTACCTTTTCGTCTAATATAACCTTGGCTGTTTTTTCTTGAAATGAGTTTATTAATAATTCATTTTGTAAACCCGATTTTAAATCACTTGAATAAGCTAAAGGTATCATTGATTTTGCTTTAACAATCGGTAATTTTTCAATATAATTTTTGTCGACTATGGACTGGGGTAACACATCAGAATTAATTTTGAAAGTTCTTGCGGGTTTTTGAACAAATGTATGATTCTTTTCAATTTCAGAAATATCATTATTATTTTTTTCTATAGCGGACGAGAGAAAAACACTATCAGTACTATCACTATAAAGCGAAACGTCGCTGAAATTATGACTTCCTAAGAACTCTATGCTAGTAGCCTCTCTGATAGTATCTTTGAAGGCATCATTTGCAATAATATTATCCATACTTAATGACTTTGGCATGCCTTTGTACATTCCTGTAAAATCCCTACTAAAAATTGTTTTAATTCTAGGTTTTATATTAATATCACTTGACAATGACTTAGAAATTAACTTATAACTATTGCTATTCAGATCTACAATGTTCGAATAATCGAAAGCATCCTGCCTGTTAAGCTTTTGTTCACAAAAGTTAACAGCGTCTTGCCTCAATAGCTCTTTGGTTTCAAAGGGAGGTAGGAGCTTTTCTGCTGATATTTCACTATCACTACTCTCAATAACATCGAGAGGTTCGTCTCTGCTACTGAAATCGTCATTTGTTTCGTCTGTTGTTACATTTTCGATGTCCAATTTAAAAGATTTCTTTATATATTCATCGTCTTGTAATTTTATGCCAGCGCTACTACGTTTAAAAAATGCCTGCTCTACAATACTCGCATCCTTCAATGGTGGATCGGAAACGCTATGTACTCTGGACAAATATCGGGTTCTTATATTCCGAAATATGTCCTTAGGTGAGCTGTCGCCTTGCGATTCGCTGTTATCAGAGCGTTTAGAAATCTTTTTTTCATCATCTGAACAATTTTGAGCGCTATCTGATGATTCTGATCTGTTAACACCTGTTTTGAGTACATGAAATAATGATTAGACATGTCGTATTACAATATTATGTTCACATTACAGTTGATGACTTTTTTCTGTTAATTCTATGATCGTGGCTAGTTCTGAAGCACTAAACATATAATTAGTGCGGCATGATAATGCGTTAATATCGCTAGGTATGTTTGGTCAGATTATTCTTAACAACATGCAGTTCTGAAATGCGATATAAGAGAGATTCCTTAACAATAACTTTTACTCGCGAAAGATACCAAGTTATAAAAAAATAGATCAAATTAAAGCCGAAAAATAATAGATACTCCCTCATAAAAACTCATTCGTGAATCTACAGATATCATTACTATACAAAATCTATCATGCAATAAATTGCTAGAGAGAACACTTTACACTGGGAACATTTTGGCACTCACCTTTGAGAGAATGCATCTGGTCCTCTAGGAGCCGGATGCGGTCTCTAGCTGCTTTGTTTTCGGAGACGAGTCGCTCGAGTTCCCTTTGCGCCTCCGTCTTGAAATCATTCGCCACGCGAACGGTCATAAGCAGGTCGCTTTGGAATTGTTTCCATTCAGCTTCCTATAAAGTAAGATAATAATATTAAAATAATCAACGTCGCTTGTTTCACAGACTGTTTACTTCGACTTGATAAGGGTATGGAATGGATTCTGTGTGGAAATTAATTTATATTATTCTCTTATTCTGGTTTCAATTTCATTGCACTTACAGGAAAATAATACTATAGAGTTTCGCATTGACAATCACTTAGATTTGAAAAATATATCTGTAGACCACGTGAGAATTGAACTACGACAAGCAGTGTCGGAACATAAGTATACCTATGGCGTCGACACTATAATGGTATCATCAGCATTGATACTACTTTATAAAAGAAGACGGACGAGAGGGGTTCGAGTGGGGAGTGAATGTGCGAGGGAGAAGAGGAGAGGCACTGACGTCGCGCTCTCTGTCGCGCTCGAGCTGCGCGAGGCGCGCGCGCGCGTCCTGCAGCTGGCGCTCCAGCTCGGCCGCCCGCGCCAGCGCCTCGCCCGCGCGCGACATCAGCGCCAGCTTCTCGTCCGACGCCACCTGCATCTGCGCACGCACCCACGCACGTTACACCGACAGCCGCCACTCACCCCACCGCCCACCGCTCTCGGGGCGAACGCGCGGACGAACCTGCATCTGCAGCTCCGACGCGTTCTCCTGCAGAGTCTTCACCTCGCCCTGCAGGGCGGCCTTCTCCTGGCGCAGCTGCTCGAGCTGGAACTCCAGCTCGGAGATGGTGGACTTGGCGTTGTTGCGCGACACCTGCGGGCACGAGTCTCAGTGCGGTGAGGAATGGGCCCAGGGCGCGGAGAGCGCGCGGGCGGGCGGGGCCTCACCAGCGCGTCGTCGTGCAGGCGGCGGGCGTCGTCGTGCGCACGGTCGAGCTGGCGCTGCGCGTGCGCCAGCCGCTCCGCCAGCGCGGGCGCCCTGGCCGCCGCCGCGTCGGCCTCGCGGCGCGCGGCCACCGTGGCCGCCGCCTCGGCCGCGGCCGCGCCCTCCGCCGCGCCGGCCAGCTGCAAGGGGCGGGGGGGCGACGTGAGGCGGGGGCGGGGCGGGGGCGGGGCGGACGGGCCGCGGGGCCGCACGGGCGCTACCTTGGCCTTGGCGGCGTCGAGCAGGTCGGACATGGTGGCGAGCTGGTGCTGGCGCGCGGCGGCCAGCTCCCGGGCGGCGTTCGCCTCCTGCTCCCAGCGCGCGCGCCCGCTCTCCGCGCGCTCCAGCGCCGTCTCCGCGCTTCTGCTCGCACCGAAATGGGCTCGATTGTAGTGGTTGCCTTTCGGCTTAAGAAATGTACCGTCCTCGTTTCAAAACTCATTAAATCTTTTGGTTCTGGAATATTGCTAATACATCGAATCTTTATTGAACAATTTACACAATAAAAAAAAACTTATACACTCTCACCGAATTCGTTCAGCGAGCGTCTCGTTCTCTTTGGTTTTTTCTTCTAGCGCATTCTTCAATTCAGTCAGTTCCGCTTCGAGCTGCTCCTGCTTACTTAACAAATGTCGACGTTCCTCTTGGGACATCTGTAATTGTTCAAAACATCATTACATAGTTATCGTAATAGTAAAACTTTATATACTAATTAATTACACAAGTTTCTTATACAATAACTTTCTCTTCATGGTGACTACCCTTATTTTAAGGAACTGCAACATGCACCAGAAATGGCAAATTAGTTTAAAAATAATTTAAGTAAAAATTTTAATTTGTACTGCCAACTACCACCTACCTTCAACACGGCGAACAATTGCTGATCGGTGTCTCCGGAGTTCAGCGTCTCCGGCTCAACGCCCTCGCGCAGTAGCAACTCTTGCAGGGTATCCACCTAGTGTGCCAAGAATCGTTCCTTGTTTTTAAATGAGTATCTCCCTCTGAATGCAACTAGTGGTGAAAAATCTACTGCTTCAAACCTCGATGTGGTATTAATGACTGCATTGTTTTTTTCGAAACCTTAGCAAAGTGAGCAGGCGAATACCTTGGTCCTGCTGTCCTCCAGCTTCTCAGTCTGGCGGCAGAGCGACTCGAGCAGCACCTGCTTCTCGTCCGCCAGACGCTCGTTGTCCGCGTGCGCGTCCGCCAGCTGCGACTGCAGGTCGGCCAGCTCGGCCAGCGTCGCCTGCAGCTCCTCGCTCGTGCTGCACACGCGCCATTGGCCAACAGTGGCCAAGTGAGTGTTATGCTTCTGCGTTTCATCTGATGAGTGAGGCAGGCGGGCACCTTATGAGTTGGCAACGCAATTGCAACATCAAGTGAACCGCCAGCTCGTTCATCACATAAAAAGAACCTTACTATTATTCTATTCTAATACCATTTGTTGTATTACATTATAATATAAAGTACTACAGAAAGCATATTATTCTGCATATCCATATGATATGAGTATACCACTAATAAACAGTGAGCTCTCGTAGTGATTTACCGCCTCTTGACACAAATTGAGTATACAGATGATCTCTTTCTTTAGACGTTTTGACATTACTTTATAAATCGGGCGCCAGGGGTTCAATTGTGATGAGAACAGGCTACGAGAAAAATCACAAATATATAACTCATATAGCGAACTACGTCGAGTTGTGAATAAGCTAACTAAGGACAAATTGACAAATGCTCACCGAGAATTACGTCATGACGACACACAGTATCATACTAAAACATGCAACAACGAGATTATGCTTCTAATTAACAAATCCTTGCTTTGTTTGACGCATAAGCAAAACCTTACCAAAGCGTACCTCTCACTGTCAATGTTAGTACGTTGCGAGCAGCAAAAAGTGACTTTGGCGATGATTGCTTCGCGTGCCACCTCAAAATACCAAAATAAAGATAAACATAATAAACAGAAAAATAGTAAAGTTTACTTTTCGTTCGAACTCTCCTGTTGGATAAATGAAGATAAATTTTGGCGCCTACGTGGCTAAGAGTCGTCGACATATTGACCTGTAGTGGTGCTCCTCCATTTGCAGTATTCGATCCTGCAGACAGGCGACGGACACCTCGCTGAGCGACGACGACGAGTGCTTGTCCCACTCCGGGGTGCTCGCCTCGCCGCTGTCGCCTTCGCCCTGGCGGAGCCACACGCGAACTGTGTCATTACGCGACAAGTGTGTGGACGGAGCAGATGTTATAGCAAAAATTGTTATAGCCATGTGTTTATGAAGCGTTGGTTGTATCACCCTCAATCTTCTGCCCTTATCCCACCTATTTCTATTCTTTTACGACTGGCAAACACCCAGTTTCGGAAGCCAATAGTTTAGCAGCGGCGCCACCGACTTGGCGGGCCCGGGATCGGGGGTCTAGTCTTGAGTCTGCTGGACCGATAAGAGTGCGTGCGTGTGCGTGTGCGTGTGCGTGTGCGCGTGCGCGTGTGCGTGCGCGTACGTTGTGCGCGAGGGCGATGGAGGCCGGCGCGGAGGAGTGCATGCGGCGCGGCGCCGGCGCCAGCAGCAGCTGCCGCTTCTCGCTGTCGGAGAGCGGCGAGTGGGCGACGCCGCGCAGCCGCGCGCGCAGGGCGCCGTTCTCGTCCGCCAGGCGCTCCATCGCCGCCTCGCGCTCCGCCTCCGCCGCCTGCATGTATGGTTTCTTTAGTCGCGACCTGATCTTCGTGCGAGTGCGCTATCTGTATTATTACTATTTATGAATAACCGACAAATTTTAATTTTTATATTAACTTATTGTAATGTAAATAAATATTAAATATAATATATAATATTTATGTTGCAAAATGGACGAAAAGTTTTTCGCCGCTCTAGAATGGAACCGGCGTCTGATTGTTATATCCTTTACAGCACACAAACAATAACGTTTTACTATCATAACCCGAACGAGAGATGCCGCCTTTTCTATTGAAATATAAACTTTATTAAAAGTTAGTAAAAAATTTATACTACTGTTGTTCAAAAACATATGAAGAATAATTTTGCCGCGTTGTTAAATCTACATGAATACAATTATAATTATATTAGTGCGTATTTTTTCTAATTGATCTGCACTCCTATTGTTCTAAAGATCTCAAGGACACAGAGTAATTACAATCGCAACTTGTTAACATGAAAAGATTCTAAACTTGCAAAGTTATTTCTGCAGCCATCTTTATATCTTGCGAACAAAGGGGCAAAGGTTAATATTTCACGAATCAACTGTGTTTTAAGACTGTTTTAGAGCCACGCAGAAGCTTCTGCAGATGCACGAAAGCGCAGGCTCGTGAAGAAGTGGGCGTATTACACTTTCGCGTTTCGCCTACCGAGTGAGGTGACCGGCGCGCTCGGTTTTTAACATGAGGTGAAACACTTCATGAATGCCCTATATGGATGGGTGGGTCCCTGGGTCACCTTGAGCCTCTCCAGCTCCGCCCTCAGGCGGTCCGCCTCCGCGGCCCCCTGCAGGAGGTCGTCGAGGCGCGCCTGCAGCTGCGCACGCTCCATGTCCGCGGCCGCCAGCTGCCGCCGCAGCGCCTCCACCTCCGCCTCCGCCCCGCGCGCCCCCTCCTCCAGCGACGCCTGCAACCTTGCGCACTGCAACTCGAGCCCAGAGCCAATTTTCACAAGGCGCACATGATAATAAGTCTCGAGTGCGTTGTAAACGGTACTACATTCATCGTAAAGGCGTTGAGCACATACAATTTTAGGTGGTTTAATCGCAGGCATATTAACGATCTATAACTTTACGGAAAGTTTTTCTTAAAAATATTCCGTAAAGTTTTCAAATCAGATAACCGTTTTTTGTAATATTTTTTTACTTTTGGTAATTCATTATGTTGACGAATTAAAATAATGATTTTCGAAAAAGGTGGCTGTTGATTTTAAATTATGACAGACGTGATAGATCAATGTTCGGGCACTCGCTTTCAATTTAATATACTCAAGCAATCAGAGTACAAATCCCAGTGCCAACACCAATTAATTGTAATTTTAAGTGCTTACTTATCACGTGCCACGTGGTGATGAAAAGTCATGAAAATCACGAGGAAACCTGCATACTTTCGAAGTACTAACAAAAAAGGACTATATACTGAAGCCCTTCGTATAGAGAAGGCCTTTGACAAGCAAGATGATCAAAAGAAACGAGTCACCACCCACCTCAGATGGTATCCTAGGCCTGAGCTCGACGTCCTGGAAGCCCGGCATGTGGTCCGCGTTGAGGGTCACCGGCAGACTGACGCACTCCTGCGAGCCCAGCTCCTCCGCGCTGCCGTACTCGCCCCTCACCTGCCCATCTTCATACTCCAACCCCTCCCTGAACTCGGGGTCCTCGAGCAGCGCATTGTTATTCCCCAGGTCCTTCTTCTTGTGCGCCTTGTGCAGCTTCTCCTTTGAGCCGAATATCTTCAGGGCCTTCTCCCTCGACGGGGCGACCTTGTGGTGCTTCGAGTCGAGGCTCGACACAGACGGGGCGCCCTTGAGCGTGGGCTCCTGCTTGCCCTGTTGCCCTCTACGGAATAACGATTTGAACTTCATCATCTTGCCCTAGTGCATGCTCCTTTCGTATCACTTTTCGTGCGAGTTTGTCGCTTGTCGCATGTTGCTGCGGCACTCGCTCCGCAATCGATCGTGTATTGTCTCTGTCTACGCTTGTTATGTGCCTTGCCGGGACTACGTGTCGACACCTTTACACCTATTCGATGTTTTTATATCAATTGACCGACAAACGATTGGAATAGTGTCACTGAACTTTGAGCGATCCATTGGCCTTAAGATGGTTAAGTGTTACGAATTAATTATAAACTGCGCAGGGGAGAATTATTATATTCAGATATGGGTTAATTAAAAAAGGCATTTGATTTATTTTTAACCTCTAATAGGACGGAAAGAGGGAGATAATGGACCGATGAAGCGTCCATCAGTTCTTGAAATAAGACCCAACACAAATACAATTTATCAGTGCTTATTCAATAGTTTACGTAAACAAAAACAATACTCAATGATACATGATAAGTTATTGCTTTTTCCATAGACAGTTTTAATTTTAAAAAAGAAATTTCTAATCCTCAACAAGACAAAACCGTTACTCAATTATGAGTAACGGTTTTGTTTGTGAGACTTATAAGGTCCATTTCCTCTGACTTTGTGCTAGAACACAGTTCGTGCGCAGACCGTTCCCATTTAAAAGTACCGTAATAAAAATGAACGTTTTGGAGAAGCCACATGACGGTAACTTGGAATAAATCGCAAAAAAAGACTTATTTGCACATGTATCGGGTGATAAAATTAGTTATTAAGTACGATGTCACCTAGCGCCTGTACATTTAAGTCAGCCCATGTGGCGAACTTACATTACTCCGTTTACTTACTCCCCTAGGCTGTATTCTTCTTAAGTACATAGCGCCTTCTTGGTGGGTGTTTAGCAGTTCTAGAGAAAATTCAATAATAACGTCCCAAAGACCCGAAACATTCACATCAAATGCAAATAGTTGTATGAAGACTTAACAAATCTTTCGTACATAAAAGTATTAATTATAATGTACTTAATAATATCTTTTATATTGTAGTCATAATTTTGTACCCTTGCCGTGATCAAAACAATTTTAAAAACAAAGAACTACCTACTCGAAATATCAAAATTTACAATCAAAATTAAATGCAATAGAATCCGTAAAGCAGTTTAATTAAAATAAAGATATGTCATTAAAATACTCTGCAAATGCTTAGTTGTAACTGGCTTCCTAAGTATATGATAGCTGCCATTAGGTATTTACGAGGCAACTAACAACATGTTGTAGGCTCAGTGGCGGGCAAGGCGACACGTGCGATGTGCGGGTACAGCCAATGGACGTTACGCATCCACAGTCCAAAGCTCCTAATGAAACATGAGGAGTTGTTTTATCGCGCTCAGTGTTGCTTGCAAGTTGAACTCGAAATATACTGTGACGTTGAGGAAATTCCCGGCGGCGTGCGTCACCGGGCGACTTGCATCTACTTGCATTAGAGTCCAGATCCAGACCAAGCTTGATAATACATTAGAAGCAGCCAGTCTTAACTTAACTGCATGTTTAAAATGTTCAAAAAACTAAATGTGCAAGGAAATAATTACATTAAATTAGCAGAATAAGGGAGGTAATGTTCAGCTGAGTCGCGTTAGGTAAAACTTGGCGCAACAGGGGAATCCGGAAGATCAGCTTTGTTGTAATTATTTTGAGGCAGCACCGCCGCACTCCACTAGGAGCGCGAGCGGATCAAACTTTACTTATAAAAAGTTCGTCGTTCGGAAAGTGCTCAACAGCTTAGTGGTGGGGCTCATTGGCCTATTTGAACATCCGGCTCATTTCTGGGGTCAATCTCCTCACCGGCTGCGATCAGACTCGAAGGATTATTAACTCTTCACAGACTTTTTTTTTTTTAAATAATGATCAAATTTTTGCACCTACTTCTTAAGCTAGGTGAAATCTAAAGAGAGCTAAATGCATTTGTGAAGGAGGTTATTTCGAAAGCAACTCGTAAGTAGGTGTTGTGTTGAGAAGTGGTGGCCAACTTTTTCTATAAAGTTAATAAGTATCTAAGTAATCTTTATTATCATTTAATTTTTTTTTTTTTTTTATGTGAAAAGTTGGCAAACGAGCAGACGGTTCACCTGATGGTAAGTGAATACCGCCGCCCATGGACATCTGCTACACCCGAGGGTTGCAGATGCGTTGACAACCTTTTAAAAATTGGGCTCCGGCTACCTCACTCACCAGACGAAACGCGAAAGTATTTGTCATACTTCCACTTTACGCTGGTCTTCTGTAAGGTCGTGGTACTTACCCGGACGGGCCTGCCCATTCGTGCAACAGCCGAGGCGAAATAGTTTTATATGTTGAAAAATCACGAAAGAGCGGCCAAAGCCAATGCCACAATGGACTAGTCGGGCATCCCTGGGGTTAGAAGTATTGCCGTCAATTATGTGTTAATCGCCTACGACGGTTGAATAGATAAACGCGAGGCATTGTGCCCCGAATGCGTCAGCAGTTTGTATAGCGTATCTTTTGCGGCGCTGCTGACGTCACTAGACATACGAAAGGATCGTTGCAATTGCAATTGGTTCTTGCTTAATCTTTATTCAAAAATAAAAATAACGACGAGCTCATTTTTAATCATTATTATTTTATATATGAAGACTGAATAAGCGAATTCAGAAATATTTATTTAGGACATGGAAGACTTACACATAAAAAGTGATATTATAAGAAGTTAGAGATGAGCATACAAGTACTGTAGCTAATTAACATCGTAGATAAAAATTTCAAATAAATACTATAAATGACATCAACCGCCTGTTCACCTATATATCTCGCTTAAAAAGTGATGGCTTAAGTACCGCCTTGCCAAGCACACACTCGTTGTGAATGGATTGAGATCGTGCTGTTTACATATTTTATGGAAACTTCTAAGTGCACGCACAATATATCTGTTTTACCTGTAATATGATGACGGTTTGGGTAAATCAAAAGGCGGCGTGAAGCGAATTGTATTGAATTGAGGTGCAATATTGTCTTCTATGAAAATCGAACCAACGATCTTTAATGCCTGTCGCTTAGGCGCCCTTTATTTAACAGCTATCACAAAAGGAACGAATAGAAAACTTCCAATTATTGAGCAAAACGTGCAGCCTGGATTGGCAGTAACGCAAGGGTCTTTGAATATTATTTGAAAAATTTTAAAGTACTTATCGTTCCTCACGTTCATAGCTACATTTTAACATGCAAGTTTTTATAAAAAAAAACATAACCGACTTCAAATATCTCACTCACCAATTCCCTGATGTATCTACAGAGTCCAAGGTGCCAATGCCAATCAAATCGGATCAGATATATCAAAAATTCTCAAACTCAATCGGAGGAGATATACGAAAATGAAAAAATAATTTTTAAAATTTGTTCATTAATAACGGATTTCTTTGGTAAAAGCAAACAAAAACATTCAACCGAATTCCGATCTTCTACTTTTTTGAAGTCAAACACTATCATGAAGGTAATACGTTGCAAAAATGGACGTCTACATGCACCGCACGTAGTACACTTATAATTAAACCTAGCCCCAGAAAGTACGAGAAGAGCACTAACAAAAAAGAAATAATACCTATGTTCTATTTCCTGCGGGCGCTTCTCATTTATTAACTTAGAAACATATCAGTTACGCAGTTACCTCTCGCTTTCGAATGTTTACAAATAAACAAGTACAAAGGCCCTGACGTTAAAACAAACATCTGTGCAACATCAGCGCGTTCCTCACAACAATTGATCGTTTATTGGATCCCGCGCGCAGCAACCTTTTCTTGTTTGCTTTAAGCCGTCACGTTCTTCGACCAAGATATTTGTTGTTAATTACCTGCTAGGGAATACATAAAATAGGAAACGCATAATGATCTTGTGTATTAAGTTCAACGATGTTAGTCACATTTGTTGGGAGGTTAGAGGTATAAGGAGCGATGATAAAATGTTCCGTAGCGACGTGACATCGGTGTAAGGTCCACTAATATATCTCTAATGAATTCATATCACAATAGTGACTCTTACACTTATCTTGCTAAATAGCAGCGGGCACATCATCTATCACATTAGTTTACTTAAAAATAATGTTCACTAATGATGGTTTGTTCCATGAATTTATTAGCACGTTTTTGCCGTCAGATTTTTATTGATGTAGAAAATCATTTGACAGTTTATCAGAATAAGAAATTTAAGCAGATCCGGCAAGCGCCAAATCCAAGCAAAAACTATTTTTGACAACAGTGCATTTATTTACTTATATTAAACACGATAGTTATGAAACTGTTTCACTGCATTCAAATCTGTATACAGAAAAGTACATAATTATGTCATATCTGATAGTTGAACATAGATAGCAAATTACTATTGGTTTAATATGACATGACGATTACATTATTGCCACATTAAGTCGTATACTGTCTCGAACGAAAACGCGGATATTTAAGTTTCCAGTAATATAACTTTGGCGTCGTGGTATTCATGTCTTCCAGGCGTCGACGAGGCCGCAATTGTTGGGTATTTACTCGTAAGTTAATCATTCATAATCGCGTCGTAAAAATCCGATTGTTACAGCTATTACATTAACTGATAAGGCACTGATAACGGAAATTATTTATCTGACTACTATTGCGTACGTGTTAATAGCAAGGCGTGCAACGTGCGGTAAGCAGAACCTTGCTCCTAAACATAACAGACTATCTCTTACAAACCTCGCTCTTCCGACTTTAGGCAGCGTATCATCCATAAATATTATCCCTGATGTTTTTTTAGCCTAAGTTTTTATACCAGGTTAATGTATTGTATTGATTTAACTTTTATTTTTGGTGATACTTGTGGATGCAGTGTTTACATATTTATTTATCAGATGCTGTGTACTCAGTTCACAGCGTCTGTAACATAGTTTTTTTATAAACTTATGTCAATGGTGAACTTAAATATCGACATAAATAAACTTTATCGTCAATTTTCTTGTTTTACATTCAACTGATTCCTATCTTCAAATTTAAAATAAAATTAGCAATGATAGTGATTCGATTCCTAGTTCAGGATTCAGGCTCTCTCCTGATTATGTTGTATCAATGATTTTTTTTTATAATTATAATGTCCTTGGTATGTTCTTTTATGCGCCGTTTAAATATCTGAAATACGCGACCTAGCAATTTCCACGAAATATTAACCTTGTTGCCAAATAGTCTCGCGCCTAGAATGACTGCTTATCAACTAAGAACGTGTTTTAAAAGTCACATTAGCCAGAGCCCAATGGCGGAGCACACCAGCCACTGGGTCACGCGGCCGTCGATACCGTTCCTCATGACAACGTCATATTCAAGTTTCAATAATCCACAAATTCCCAGTTTACCTAGAGGTAATAAGAAAATAAGATTCAAGGTTATTCAGGTATTTCATATTTGTCAAATATACGCCAGGCGCAGCTTTTTGATTATTCTTTTGGACCGATCTATGTAGACAACCGTTAAAATGTGGAGTCCTATCAGTGATCTTGGTATAAGTTCCAATATTTGATCAAGCTGATAGCAAAATGTAGTCACCGTGCAATAAATTAAATTGTAAATCGGCAAGCTCCACAAAGCCCATCGCAGCGACAAGCTTGTTGCGAGAGCGAGGCGGCGCGGCCACGGCTGGTCGTTCACCCGCCTCCCCCGCGGCCCTCGCTCGCACCCCCGCCAACGCTTGCACGGGACCAATCCTTGAAGACAACTACGCTGCCACTAACCTCCTAGACAGTCTCAGTAAACACACACGAGCACACGTTGGGCACAATGAAGCCACCGAAGGCCGTCCACCTTTTATCATCACCGACGGAACGACCCCAAATCCAGTTGTACGACATATTCCAAGGCGATTATACGCACATTTGCAAGCAACCATACAGTTTTTTCCAAATTATCCATCGAAAAAAGGTCACATTAACATAAAATGTACTGCGTGCTTGTACATTATTGGCTTAGTATTAAAAAATATATCTCACATTCAAAAACATTCGCAGCGAACGCGGTTTTACGAGAAGACTTATGATCGTTATAACTCACTATTTCGTTGTATTCTGGACGGCGAATATTTTGCTACTTCTTTCTTCTTTTTCGTAAACTTTCAACGATTTGCTATGGACAAGTCATTGACATGGAGTGGCATTTGCAATGATCGCCACGCACGGCGCTATGTTCAGTAGTAGCTGCGTTTTATCAACCAATTAGGAGGAAACTGCCGCCATTTCCCTGTCTAATCTTACGACAATTTACGTCACACCTAATATGTTATCACCGCACTATGTCGTAAACACAACTCGAAATATTATTCACTCTAGCAAATAGGTCCTGTTTAAATCCATCTCTATCTATAAAAATGAGCACGATTAAGCAAGTTTTTGTTAACCTGTTTAAAACAGGAATGCAAAAAAATAATTTAAATGTAAATTTAATGTTTATGGGGGAATGACATTAAACTACGTAGATATCGAAATAGATATTTTTGCGTCATGCCATAAATTGCTATCCACTAATTATACTTTTAGACATTGTAGGCAATCAAAATGTACGAAAAGTAAACACTGCAAATTATACACATAGCAAATGGTACCACGAGGGTCTACACAATAATATATTGATATATCGTTTAAAAACGATTTCCCACAAGTATCGCAACATCCATTGTTGGAATTGGCAGGATGTGGGCGACACGGGGGTAAGCACGGTGAAACAGGCGGAGTCCTAAAACTACACAATTATTGTAATTAGAAGGATCTATTTAACGAGGTTTATTTTATTTTAAAACCGGCAAGTGATTTTTTTAAGACGAAAAGCGCTCTAAATTTTTTTAGACTCCTCGAACGTATTTTCGGGCCAGTGATCAAATTCCATTACGTCGGCCTTTCATTTCATATCGAATTGATCTCAAATGTCTGACCACAGACGATGTTGTTAGAGTTCGCGATAAGCGCACCTTCCAAAATGCTGCATAATTATATAACATATATGTATATACAGCGTGTCGTTACAAACGCAACAATAAATGAACACACGTCTAACGCTACTTGCCAATAATCATAAAAAAATATAAACGTTAAAAAATCCATAACTAAAAAATTTTTTTGTCAAACAAACTAATTAAATAAAAAGAAACAAAATTTGTAACACCTATATAATTACAACCGACTGATTCATTACATTCAGAGACTTTTTCATTCGTTCCACAGGATCGCATTACAAATCTCTCCTTGTAACAGTATGTTTTATCTCTTTTAAATTCATTCAATCCATTCATATGCTTTGTGATCTTTACAAATGAACTTTACGTTACAGTTTTATACCTAAGGATGTTCTAAAATTGTTTGATAACTCGGTAAATTTACTCGGTAAAATTTAATAACTCGGTAAATATTGATGTTTAAATAATGTAATTTATTGTCGGGATCGTAACGACACGCTATATAATGAACACAAGAGAAGCAAAACCAGATCTACCGCCAGACCTAAAAAACTTGTTACACGTTTGCTGAAGTAAATGTTTAAAGTATTTATCTCGATCTACCTACGGCTAATAAAACTACTTCTGGGTACGCTATCGAGTTTCTCTTTCCAAGTTCCGTAAATTGGAGTACCTTATGGAACTGGTACGAGAGGTGTAACGGGGAAGCGGGACCGTCCGACGACGCCTTTGGTGAAAGTAAGATGGAATGGAAATGTCATTGCGAAGTGTAGATTCATAAATTGGAAATTTTCGTAGATAAATGACGCTTCTGGTTCCACAAAGCGCAGGTTCGAACTCCGCAGCGCCGAATTTTTGTTCATTTATCCTGAGTGCAAAGACAACCGCTAAAAATTAAAATTAATCATGTGGATTCATGATTTTGATAGAGCTACCGAATTACTAAACTAACTTAAACATACTCAATATCAATGGACGTATGCAGCTTTTAAACTAACCAGCGTTTTATATCATCACGCCTTGGTTAGCGAGTTAAGTCTTGGATTTTACGGGAAAACGTAAACTGTAGTTTCGGCCTTTGACTTTGCGAAATGTCCTTCAAGGTTCATTCCATTCAGCTACATTCCGCAAAGTCAAAGCGTAAAATCATAGAAGATTTTAACAAAGACGTTGCCTCATCAAGTATATATTAAATGTAGTTATTTAAGAGATGTTACCGTGGAACTTGCAAATATATGCGTTTGCAACTTACGTAAACAGGCAAATTAAACCTAAAATATTCACGCAGCAAAAAAAGAAAACGCCGTGGGACTACATTAAAGCAACTCAATTTAATTTTCTCTAAAGTGCACGCATTACATAATTCGGCGAAGACTTGGCTATGTATTATCGCACTCAGGCGAATTCAATCCCTTTGTGGATAGGCACAGAGTGTAGAGCCGCGTGAAACGGTCTCGTCTCAGGGGCGGGCGGCACGTGAGAGAGATCCAAACAAAAGCCAAACGGTGAGAACGGCCGCTCTAACGGCGGACGCGGCATCCATACGCCAGGTTTCGCTTTCACCACCTCGCACCGCTAAAGTATCATAGAAAAAACGCCATGAACAACTTTGACCAGGGCTCGGCCGCAAATTGGCGCGTACTCCACTTCCACTGACTGAAATATTATATACGTTCAATATGAATGCGGGCCGCACACGACTGGCCACACTACTTTAATTACAATCGTGTCGTCACAACAAGTTTGTTAGAACATTAACATTTATACTATATATGGTGAATGTCAGACGAGACCAGCCTCTTACAAAAACGAAATAAACGTAATACGTAAAAAAACATCATCTTAAACTTTGAGTAATTTCGTTTGAACGATCTCGAGGTTAAACAGAGGAGCTCGTTAATTATTTACGACAAAAAGTTGTCTGCAGTTTTCCCACGAATAGATATTTTTTGTCGAACAAGATATTATAGAGAAACAGAAGGCAAATATCCTTGTGGTTTAATTAAAAACAAAAACTGGACGGTTAAGAGCAAATAAAAAGTTGCAGACATTTAATTAAGGGTATCAAAACATTGAACAAATAGTTTTGGAAATTATTTTTAAGACGATGAATATTTAAGATTTTATTTGTAGAAGGAATATCTTAAACAACGGCGTTATTAATATGCAATACTTAGGCATATCTAGTCCGTAGAAGAACAGAAAAACAAATGTCTGTATCTAACTCGAATCCCACCACTTTATCAACATGGTACGTAGCTTTTAGAAATCGGCCATAGCTAATCAACAACAAGGTCGTACAATCCCCAAACTTCGCCTTGACTGGAATCAAATAAGTCCAAAAATCAATTGAATAAGATTACCGAAGAAAGATGTATTAAAGTAAGTCTGTCACAAAATAATTAGTTGTGAGAAATAGAGTTTATGAGAAACATCAGGTCATTATCCACAATAAAATATTTACTTCATTATTAGAATAATGAAGCAAATACAATTTAATGAAACGAGCAGCGATGCATAATAACATTACTAGCTTTTTACTTCTTTAGCATGAGCTACATATACAGGTAGATTTTTTGAGAAGTGCCCAAATGTACACAGGAGGTTCAGACTCGGTGGTATAATCGTTTATTGAAAAAATGAAATCAAAAAATCCAATCAATCCAAAAAAAAAATCAATCTATTCCCTAAAAAAACAGAAAGTGTTGACAATGCGGTAGTCATTCATAAATACCTCAATTTTACTGTGCACGAACTTGTGTGCGTGGTAGTTATGAATAATCGCGCATAAAATAAACGAGTTGCGTATAAATCACGCACTTTTTGAGATAAGTTTAAATGAATGTAATTGTCATTTTTTTATATAACATTATTTATGTCTAGAATGTAATAAAAAAAATGGATACACTTAGAAATGCCACCCTGTATATGTAGTACACGTTATATCCAAATCAATTCAAACACTCATTTTGAATGCTAACCCTAAGTATATACATATTATACTTTTGACGGCAACGCTGTAGCGCATTGGGCCATAGAGCAAGGTCAAAAGAAAGCAGATTGTACCGATAAGATCCCCACAGCAGGGAGACATCATTAACGAGTTGCGTTGTGGTTAAATTCAAGTGTTTGAGATTGCGGTTTATGAAGGGATGTTCTCCTTTTAACATCAATGGTAATGTTAAAGGGAAAAGAATCGTTTTGCAAATGGGGCAAACTTAACTGCATAAGTTTACGCAAAAATAAAGAAAAATGGCGCACCATTTATCTTTTATATCATCAGAAATAAACAACTTTGGGAAAGATCAAGACATTAATTTGTCTTACACCCACGTCATAACTCGTCTAATTATTTAATTAGCTGTGTAGTTACAAGTGCCAAAGTATTACACAACGTAACACTTTGAAATACCTACAGGCGTACATTAATTCAAAGGAGTAAAAGCGGTGCGTCTTTCGGTTGGCTAAAATCTGCTCATTTCTTGGTACTCGAGGTAAAATGATAAGAAACGTCAAGATGCATTGCGCTGGTACAGCGATTTGTGGCTGACACCAGTTGTTGTTGTCAGGTCTAGCGGTGAGGGCGCCGTCGGAGGCCGGCCGCGCTGCGACGCCCTTGGGACGCACTTGGACAAACAAACGCCGAAGCACAGCGGAGTGGAACCGACGCCAACCGCCTTTTTGCGTTGCTAATACGTTCGCGTTTCATAAGGTATTTTTTATTATTATTTATGTACGACTTTAAAGTTCATTTACTGCTTGATATTTTCAAAAAAGTCGCCATTAGTGCATTACAGCGTCCTGTTTTCGTCGATATATATGTATAATTTAATTGATCTGCAATTACAGGTACACAATACAATTACAGGGTTCAGGTAAAATTGTACCATAGTGATGGACGGAATGTCCATAGGAAATTATAATCTGTTTTTTTTACAAGGGTTGATTTAATGGAAATGATTAAATCAACTCTTCCAATTTCCATCACGCGACCATTGCATACTTGATGCGAAACGATACCGTAAGGTTTATGCAAAAGTGTATCGGATGTGGGTGGAGTCATCGGCAAAGGCAAGGCGCGTAGACGTCTCGCATACAAAGCGACATACGCGAGGCACAACCACCGGCCGACATTAACACTCAACGCCATGATGATAAGTGCAAAATTTAAAAAAAAATGCACATCCCCCGTGGCTTGGTTAACATATGCTAATCTTTAAAGTTATAAGAGATATATATATATATATATATATATATATATATATATATATATATATATATATATATATATATATATATATATATATATATGAATCAATTATGCTGGTAATAGAACGGCAGGATAGTAAGCCGCTTTTAAGAAAGTTAGTATATTCCTGAAAATTTTATATCTATCAAATCGTACAATAATTTGTTGACTTGTCACGATATTTTAATTCTGAATATGATATTTATAAAGATTGTGTTTATGATTACGTAAATATAAGAAATTATTTAGCATAATCTACGGTATAATGGTGAAATAATGCAAAGCATTAATGTCCATACACAATAATAATTATAGCCAATCGCTGTACAGTCAGATGTTTTAGCATTTTTTAAATGAAAGTCTAAACTAAGTATCATTATGTTTAATGCACACTTATTTTGCTAATACCAGCTTTGGATCCTATAACTAATAAAAAGAAATTCAGGCCTAAGCCCATTACCACTGAAGAATTGAACTAAAAAAACTTTTTCGCGTTAACCAAGTCATGTCTACCTAAAACAACTCAGTCTATTTGTGATCATGGCAATATATTAAAAATGTGAGAAAATCCTTAGACTGCTCCATTTAATAAAGCGTAATGTTCTGGAGAATGCAAGAAAATGTTTTTTTTGGGGTTTTTATCCTTTTTGGATATGTAAACCCCATTGTGACCATCTCATTTTTATACTTTAGAAATACACTATCTAAATTATTGTGAGAACACAGAAGCTGCACAACATAATTTTTTTGCATCATCTGAAAATGGCAGAGACAAGATAGACTGCGCAATTCCTATGTTGAAAGAGTTTATGTTCAAGGCTCCCATCACTTCCTCTCTCTCCTTTTTGTTTTTGACACATTCCATCAAAACATGTTGTACATCCTCCTCAACTCCACACAGATTACAATTCGGAGAGTTTGTTTTTTTCATAATGTATGCAAAGAACAATGCCCATTTTTGACCTGATTGTGTATAGAAGTGAAATAAATATTAAAATTTAGCTAATTTCATTTTATAATAATTACACTGATCATAATATTAAAAGAAGGTCGGGAAAAAAATATTTTTTGATATTTCTTTACGCTTATTTTACTTCAAGGGTAAACATATTCCCATGTTTTGAACGCACCTTAACAATCCTTTGCATAAGACGTTCCATTTTTCACACTACCTACTTGACTGTATTCAACTTTTTCTGAGTTTTGTACGTGATTTTACGTTTTAGAGAAGTGAGTAAGCACGTAATTAACAGTAATTGTATAAAAATTAAAATCAATCTTATTAGTAGTACAGATTTATTACTTCTTCTTTCCTTTATGGCGCTTTTATGGATTCGCCAATGACATGTGAAAGATGTTTTATCAGTTTAAAGCTTAGATAGTGAATATTTAAGAGAAGAAAATTTACTTTGCGAAAAGAGAGGAGATTGTGATATTTTAGGCACGAAATAGAAATAAATTTTGATAATACTACTCTGTTGAATTACCTAAAACAAAAGACAAACAATTATGTTAAAAACAAATATAATTAGTGTGTTAATATTGACAGACACTTATAGCTTAATGTTATTAGCGTTAATAAAATCACACAGAATATAAACAAAAGAGGTGTTTGTATAGGTTAATAGGGAGTTGAAGTCTATAGGACGCGGGATATAAGGGGGGAGGAGGTCATAGAGGGAATTGGATAACTTAGGACAGTCGAAGAAAATATTATTTGTATTTCCCTCGTCTAAACCGCATTCGCATAGTGAATTATCCCTAATCCTGATCTTGGCGAGATGGACGTATGTACATGCATGACCTAACCTTAAGCGACAGACAATTGAGGTTGAGCGCTTGCTAGCTTTATTAAATTTAGAAAACCAGGGTTTACTTGGGATAATACTTTGTATGGAGGCATAATGTTTACCCTTTGAGATTTGTGAAACTTCCCACAAGCCCTTCCACTTATTAACTAGCAATTTCCTAGCGAGTGATACTAAATCATGAGAATAAGTCATGGCTAATGGAATACCATTAGATATTGCATCCTTAGCACATGTGTCAGCTGTTTCATCTCCATGAATCCCACTATGGCCAGGTATCCATGCCAAAGTGACATGGATTCCTTTCGTAAAACATCTAAAAAGAACATTTTTAATTTTTAAAATTAAGGGGATTTTAAATTTACTATGAAATTGGTTAGATAGAATAGCCTGTAAACAACTTTTGGAATCAGTGAGAATAATAGTCTTGTGAAGGTTATGTGACTCTATATATGTTAATGCATCATAAATAGCTGTTGCCTCACCAGTGTAAATGGAACATAAAGGGGGACAACTATATTTTAAAATG